GCCAGACCCACACACTCACTCTCTCACTCACTCACTCACACACACACAACACACACACACACACACATTACACCACTCACACTCACTCACACACACATTACACACACACACACACACACATTACACCACTCACACTCACTCACTCACACACACATTACACCTCACACACACACACACAGCAACACTTTGCACCACTAACACACACACATACACACACACAGTGTTTGTGGAGCAAGTCCGTTTCATCATGTCTCGAGGCATCAGAATATTTGTTCAGTTGAATTGTTTTGATATAATCTGGAAATAAAACTCACATTTATGTACGATCAAGTCTCTGTGTTTGTTGAACATCACAATGCTTTTAAAACCACTTTAATTGGAATCTCAAGGAAAAAAACACCCCATTACATCCACTGAAACACTGACGAGCTCTTCTGAACCCGTCAAACCGTTAACTTTAATCTGAACTACTCCTGGATTAAATCGCTCCAAACTGGAGTCTGTTTAAAATGAAACGATGAAATCATTCACTTTGTCTAGAGAAAAAACACTCTCTATGTACAAGCCAGCAAACCCCATTCATTCGGACGTTTGACTGATTCCCAGGTGAGATTGAGATGCTGTAAACGACTGACGTGGCTGTGATTGTATCAGTGTGATGTGATGGAGGTGTTGATTGGTCAGCAGTAATCTGAATGCTCCTCCTCCACGTAATTAGAAGGAAAAAGGCCCACCTACAGGAGAACAACATACTGTCATTACTGAATCACAGAAATCAACATCCCCTCATCATTCACTCATGATACTCCAAAAGACTTTCTTAATCAGGAGTCTGTCATATTTCCAATAAATGACAAATTCAGTTTGGGTCTGAGCCTCTGGTAAACCATCATGTGAAATTCACCACACCAGTGAATTTTAATTGGTATGATAAAGTGTTTTTTTTATGCATTTTTTATTTTTAAAAACAAAATCAGTTCCAGAGGGCAAATTCCACCCTGTAATAAAATAAACGTTAATTTGTGGTGCATTTTTTTATGGAAAAGATCTGCTGAACATCTCGAGCGAAAGAAGTCAGACATGAGGGTGAGTAAATGATGACAGCAGGTGATGTTTGGGTGAACTGTGTGTGTCGTACCCTGCCGTACACCTCTCCTTTCCACCAGCCGTTGTGAGCTTTCTTGGAGATGATCTTGACGGTGTCTCCCTCCCGCAGAGAGAGTTCGGTCCGGTCACGAGCAGAGAAATCGTAGCGTACTTTAGCCGTGCCGTGGTAGCGCTCACTCACACCTGCACACACACACACACACACAGGGTTAAATCTGTGTGTTGTGTTGGATCTGTGTTGAGGCGTGGATGGCGTGTGCTGTACCTGCGTGGCGTGTGCTGCTGTGCTGCGGCGCTGCGCTCTGCTCCGGCTGGTTGTACGGCGTCTGCAGTCTGGAGTCCACGTCCTTAAAACACTCCCTTAGCGAGTTCTCCTGATAGTACTGCACCAGCTCCTGCCACACACACACACACACATTAAACACATCACACGCTACACACTCACATGATCCTGATGCCTTCATTCACACAAATACACATGCAGCTCATGCAGAGGGACCGTTTACCCACAGATCAACATCTGTCATCATTTACTTCATCTCATGTCATTACAAACCTGTGTCATCCATTCACACCAACAACTATAACTATAATGATAACTGTTAGGAAAACGATAACAACAGCGATGATAACTGTAACAATAACTATGCTGATAACTGTAAGGACAACTGTAACAAAAACTAACAATAAATGTTATGATAAATGTAACAATAACTTTAATGATAACAGTAACAATGGCTATAACAATAACTAATGACAACTATAAAATAACTGTAACAATAACTAGCAATAAATGTTATGATAAATGTAACAATAACTTCAACAATGACTGTAACAATAAATGTAATGATAACTAAAATAAATGTAACAATAGTGGTAACAATGACTGTAACTGTAACAGTAATGATAACTGTAACAAAAACTAAAGATAAATGTAACAATAACTTTAACGATGACAGTAACAATAACAGTACCAATGCTATAACAATAACTGTAATGATAACCGTAAAAATAACTATAATAACTGTAATGATGACTGTAACAGTAATGATAACTGTAACAATAACTAAGGACAACTGTAAAAAAAACAGTACCGATAATTGTAACAATTATAGCTAACAATAAATGTTATGATAACTGTAATGATACTTGTAACAATAACTGTGAGGACAACTATAACTAACAATACCTGCAATGATAACTGTAACGATAACTTGTAAGGATAACTATATGAATAACTATAACGACCAATAACAATAACTTAGGATAATTAGTGCTAACTATATAAATAACTGTAACAATAACTATAATGCAAATGATAACTAGAAAGCTTTAATAATTGATGGTGATAATTGATAAGAGGATGGTGAAGTTCACAGCACAACTATAACACTAACAACAGAGGATATTGCAGGATATTGCATGTGTAATGTGTGGTTCAGGTATACTCTACGTTATGGGGACAAAATGTTCCCACAAAGATGGCAATATCCAAAATCCTTGTCCTTGTAACATTTTTTGGTCCCCATGAGGAAACAAGCTTATAAATCATACAGAAGGAAGTGTTTTGAGAATCTAAAAATGCCTGTAGTTTTGTGTGAGGAGTAGGTTTAGGGTAAGGGGATAGAAAATACAGTTTGTACAGTAGAAAAACCATTACGTCTATGGAATGAACCATAAAACATGGAAACCCAACATGAGTGTGTGTGTGTGTGTGTGTGTGTGTGTGTGTGTGTGAGA